CTTAAACAGTTATTTTTTCGTGGTACCTTGACTTCGTTGGACCCTCTAGACCCACAAAGTAATCCAAATACTGAAGGTTCACATCGGGCACGCTTTCTGAATAAACCATTTTGAAAGCTTAGTTATCCCCCAACGTGGCGGCCGCGTATGACGTAGAGAATTTTTGTCACGTGGTTGGAAACAAAGAATTGTGACCGTTTACACTTAACATCTTATTACAACTGTCAATAAAAAATCTTCGAATTCCAAAGAGGGAGCATCAAACTACTGCGAAATCACAATATGTATTTGAGTTCTACATATGCACTCATGTAACGCATGCAATGCGTGAGAAACTTCCTGGTAACGCACAAAGTGTATCTTACATGTGTGTGACGGTTCAAAAATTATTTCAGCTCGCTGCTTACCCGTCGATCGTGACGCTGTTTTAACGCGACCATTTTTTCACCTCCCAAGTATGGTTAGCCAAATGTTGCAAAATTCAACAACTTGCATATTTTTATTCAACAACTAATATTTATGCTCAACAAAATATATTTTTTATTCAACGGTTTACAGTTATATTCAACATTTTATATTTATGTTCAACGACACGCATTTTCTTTTCATATTCAGCCAAAATCATTTTCATTTAACAACAATATTTATTCAACTTCAATAGCTATATTTATTTTATTCAACAAAACTAATTGTTCAACTTCAGTCCAAACTTTTTACTCAACAAAAAGAATTATTCAACGTCTACCATGCATAGTTATTTAATGACATACCCTCTATTATGACTAAGTGTTCAAAAGTTCCCGGACATTCAAAATTTCGTCATTCAACAAAATTCCCCGCCCCTACCCCCGAACTACCCCCAAACATGAAACCCATTCCTTCCAATACGAAGATTATGGTTCATTTATTTCTCCTGTTTACCTTTGAGGCGCCATGGATGATTTGTTGCAACTGTGGGCCTCTTTTTTCCCTTGTGAAAAGAAGACGAAGAAGAAGGAACCGGGATGGCTGTGGCGGGAAAAGATGGAGCGATGCCTGGGGCGATAGAATTTGTCATCTCTCGGCTCGCAGATCTTGCTGAACTTGTTATAAGGTCGCGCGTTCTCATTAACAACGAGGTATTACTTCCCGATCATTGAAGAGCGATCTCATTTCGAACACATTCTCTCATAATTTGTGTCAGTTCTTCCCTAACATCACGCCCTGATCCGTCTTCCGACGCCATCCCTATTCATGGGCGTTAATGGTCGGGGCACTGGGTCCGCAATACAGCGTATTTAACTTGCCCAATTCTGTCAGCTGATTTCGTGTTTCCTTGGCGATCTCGATTGTCGGCAGCGATGGCATCAAGTCATCCATGTAACCGTTGCGTTGAACAGCTTCTGCAGCCAAAGGATACTTGCTCCTGTTTCTCAAGGTGTGTCTGCCATGTGAACTGAGCACAGAAAGGGCAGTAGCATCCTCCGAATACAAACCATGAAAACTCGTTAACTTGTGGGGAGCTTCGTATGTCAAGGTTTCGCCATAGGAATCGATGTAATGGTATATCTTCTGGTTTAAGAACCAACTGGTG